GCCCACAGGTTCAACAAACACCTGGACCGCGGCTTTAACTCGTGCGCGCGCAGCGACTTGTACTTCGTGCCCTTGGAGGGCTCCAAGCTGGCCAAGAAGCGGGCCGACCTGGTGGAGAAGGTGCGGCGCGAGGCCGAACAGCGCGCGCGCGAAGAGAAGGAGCGCGAGCGCGAGCGAGAACGCGAGAAGGAACGCGAGCGCGAGAAGGAACGCGAGCTGGAGCGGAGCGTGGTGAGTGCGTCACGGCGTGCGCCTCCCGCCTTCCGGCCTTCCTTGTGCGCCGCGCAGTCAGGCTTGAGGGGCGGGGGCACTGCGCCACCTCTCGGAGAGGAAGGAAGTACTGCAGCCCAGGAAATGGAGACCACAGGATTCCTGCGGGAGGGATGCCTGGTCTGGGGTCGGCTCAGGTCAGACTGCCTGTGGATTGTAAGAAGAGCTGCTCTTCAGGAGAAGTGGGTAGGGGAGTTCCTGGTAGGCTGAGTTTCAATAAGACGAGGTACATTGGCATTCTGCTGCTGAGATAAACTAGCAGCTCAGGATTGCCCACCTTTTTTATTACTGGTTTCCAGAGGGAGGAAGGAAGAGAGAAACATGGTGGGTTGCTTTTCGACCATGTCCCAACCCGGATTTGAACCTGCAACGTTTTGGTGTACAGGCTGATGCTCCAACCAACTGAGCCACACCAGACAGGGCCTGGCCACCATTTTATAAAACTGCTCTTCTGATTCCTTTTCTCCCTGTATCCCACAGAAGTTGGCTCAGGAGGGCCGTGCTCCAGTGGAGTGTCCGTCTCTCGGCCCAGTGCCCCATCGCCCTCCATTTGAGCCGGGCAGTGCTGTGGCTACAGTGCCCCCCTACCTGGGTCCTGACACTCCAGCCCTGCGCACACTCAGTGAATATGCCCGGCCTCACGTCATGTCTCCTGGCAATCGCAACCATCCGTTCTACGTGCCCCTGGGGGCAGTGGACCCGGGACTCCTGGGTTACAATGTCCCAGCCCTGTACAGCAGTGACCCAGCAGCCCGGGAGAGGGAGCGGGAAGCCCGAGAAAGAGACCTCCGTGACCGCCTCAAGCCTGGCTTTGAGGTGAAGCCCAGTGAGCTGGAACCCCTACACGGGGTTCCTGGGCCTGGTCTGGATCCCTTCCCTCGACATGGAGGCCTAGCTCTGCAGCCTGGCCCCCCTGGCCTGCACCCTTTCCCATTTCATCCGAGTCTGGGGCCCCTGGAGAGAGAACGTCTGGCGCTGGCTGCGGGGCCAGCCCTTCGGCCTGACATGTCCTACGCGGAGCGTCTGGCAGCTGAGAGGCAGCATGCAGAAAGGGTGGCAGCCCTGGGCAATGACCCACTGGCCCGGCTGCAGATGCTCAATGTGACCCCCCATCACCACCAGCACTCCCACATCCACTCTCACCTGCACCTTCACCAGCAGGATGCCATCCATGCAGGTGAGACCCCTACTTCCTTCCTTGTCCCCCCCCCCCCCAAGGGATTGGGCTCTTCTCTTCCTCAATCCGGGACCTTCCTAGTCTGGCATGAGCTCTCTCCTAAGTGCTTCCCTGATCTTTGCTTCCCTGTCATTCACCAGCCCGTCGTCTCATACCCTAGCCTTGCCACAGCGACTATTCCCCACATCCCCACCATTGTCATTCTAGCATCCCACCCATGAGAGAGGCCAAAGCTGGAGCCCTTTGAGAGAGCACTGCCTTTCTACCGTTACAGCCCATTTCCCCCAACCCTCACATACCTGTTTTCTTGCTCCTCTGGATTCAGCTCTCTTGTAACTTCTTGCCACCTTCTCTCCTCCCAGCTGTAGGTCTTTTATGTTCCTCCCCATCTCTGTGCCTTTCAGAAAGAATCTTGTAGCTGTGGTTGTGGGCATCATAGGTGATAATGAGCTTTACTTACTGTCCTTTTACTATATTTCTTTTTAAAAAAAAGACTTTTATTGATTTCAGAGAGGAAGGGAGAGAGAGATAGAAACATCAAGGATGAGAGAGAATCATTGATCGGCTGTCTCCTGCAAGCCCCCCACTAGGGATCGAGCCCATAACCCGGGCATGTGCCCTTGACCGGAATCCAATCTGGAACCCTTCAGTCCACAGGCCGATGCTCTAGCCACTGAGCCCAAACCGGCTGCAGTGGTCGGCAAACTGCGGCTCGGCAAACCGCGGCTCACGAGCCACATGCGGCTCTTTGGCCCCTTGAGTGTGGCTCTTCCACAAAATACCGACTTCTGCGCATGGGCCACGAAGTTTCAATCGCACTGTATGTGCGCACCCGCACGTGGTATTTTGTGGAAGAGCCACACTCAAGGGGCCAAACAGCCGCATGTGGCTCTCGAGCCGCGGTTTGCCGACCACGGGACTAGGGTTTCACTAGATTTCTTATTGCCCAATCTAACCTTACATTCATGTTCATTCCAACCTCCCTTGAGCTTTCTCTCTCTCTGTTAACCTCTCTTCCTGTCTCATTTTCTAAACTTTCTATCCTCTTTCATCTCCTCTAAGCAGACCACTTCTCTCTTTCCTTTTCCTCAGACCCCTCTGATAACTATTCTCTGTCTGTTAATATGTCCCTGCCCCATTAGTGTCTCATACTTGTCCATTGTGCTCCTTGTTCCACTCTGGATCTCCCTGTGTTTGATTTTCCATCTCTCTTCCCAGGCTTGGATCCCTTCACTACATGCATGGTTTTCCCCAAACCTGCCTTCTGGTGACACCTTCCTCTTCTTTACCCTCCAGCCTCTGCCTCAGTGCACCCTCTCATTGACCCCCTGGCCTCAGGGTCTCACCTTACCCGGATACCCTACCCAGCTGGGACCCTCCCCAACCCCCTTCTTCCTCACCCTCTGCACGAGAATGAAGTTCTTCGTCACCAGCTCTTTGGTAAGGATGGAGGTTGGGGATAGGGAAGGTCTAATAAAGGAAGAGCAGAAAGGAGGAATTTGGGTGGTGGGATTGGCCTAATTTGGCTTGGGATGGGTGAGGAGGTGCCCAGAAGAGCTGGGGATGGGAGTAGCTCTGCTGAAGAGACGCATAGGTTTTATTGCCAGGCCAAGAAGTTTGAATCCTAACTCCACCACTGGCATTTTTCAAGACTGCTGTTACCTAACATTTTTAGTCTCAGTTGCCTCTATGTAAAGTGGTTGGTTATCTCTTGGCTCAGTCATGTGCCCTGTGCCCTTCCTGCCTACAGCTGCTCCTTACCGGGACCTGCCAGCTTCCCTCTCTGCCCCGATGTCAGCAGCTCACCAGCTGCAGGCCATGCACGCACAGTCCGCTGAGCTGCAGCGCCTGGCGCTGGAGCAGCAGCAGTGGCTGCATGCCCATCACCCGCTGCACAGTGTGCCGCTGCCTGCCCAGGAGGACTACTACAGGTACTACTGGGCGCCCCTAGGCCGGGAATGAGGAGATGTAGGCCTGGGATGGGGTGTAGGCATGGTACAACTTGGTGTTAGTCTTCTCAGGGAGGGATCCCCTCTTCCACCATCCTCTGTGAGAGGGGTCAGGTCAGATTGACCTCACTCGCTTATCTCTGTTCTACTCCCAGTCACCTGAAAAAGGAAAGTGACAAGCCACTGTAAACCTGCAATCAAGAGAACACCCAAGTGTGCATCTGGATCTTGGAAGTCTCCCTCCTGGCCTGCCACCCAGAGCAAGGAGGGGTGCTGCTCAGTTGCAGGGCCTCAGCAGCTGGGCAGAGGGAGGGAGGAAGGGACAGATGGGAAACCGAGGCTCCTGTGGTGTGCAGAGGTGGGGAGGTAGGGGGGTGGGGGCAGAAAGCGCGCAGTATCTTGGACCAGGTCCCTCTTTTTGTCCCCCTGCTTTCTTCTGTCCCATGCCCAGCCCCTGTGGCCACCGCCCCTCCCCGCCCCGTTGGTGTGATTATTTCATCTGTTAGATGTGGCTGTTTTTGCGTAGCATTGTGTGCCACCCCCTGCCTCAACCCAATCCCTGTGTGCGCGCCCCCCTCTGCAATGTATGCCCCTTGCCCCTGCCCCACATTAATAATTTATATATATAAATATCTATATGATGCTCTTTAAAAACATCCCAACCAAAACCAACCAAACAAAACATCCTCACAACTCCCCAGGAAGATGGCTGTGACTCCTTATTTGCGGGCTACGGGGCGGGGTGGGGGGTGGGAAGTTGTCTGCTCAGTAGAGACCCTCTGGGAAGTGGGAAGGGATGGGCCTTCTGAAGAACTGGGTGGAGGGACCCTGGACAGTTGAAAAGGATACTCCCATCAGGATGCTGGAGGCCTGGGACAGGCACACCTCTGCCAAGGTCAGGTCTAGGAAATACTCAGACTTAGGAGGTTTTTGTTTTTAAAATATATTTTTATTAATTTCAGAGAAGGGAGAGGGAGAGGGAGATAGGAACATCAATGAGAGACAATTGTTGATTGGCTGCTTCCTGAAAACTCCTTCCCCTCCCCTCTCCCTCCCCCTTTACACCACCCTTCCCTCCCCTGTCTCCCCCCCCCCCCCCCCATGAGCCTGTAACCCGGGCATGTACTCTGACGGGGAATGAACCCCCACCTGATTCATAGGTCCACGCCCAACCACTGAACCACCACTGCCCGCTGAGGCATGACAGCTAGGAGCCACCAGTCTGAATCCCACTTGGGTTGCGGGAAACGAGTTAAGTCGGCTCGCGTGAATTGCGCGTACTCCGCGGGAGCCGTCTTAAACTCGGTTCATATAGATTTGCGGTGGAGTGCGGGAAATGTGTAAACTCGGGCCGATTGTAACTGCGTATTACCAAATATTTCATTTCAATCGAACCCATACTTCAAAAGATATAGGCATTTTAACGCGCCATCTTATATTTTGGCGGGAAATTCACCCGCAACCCAAGTGATCCTTTCTGCAGAATACTTTGAGACATTATGAAGCAGAGGTCCAAGAGCCTTATTTCCACAGATTAAAGCGATTAGAATCCAGGAGTTTTTACCCTATGGTTTGAGAAGAGAGCATTTCAAACGCCTAGAAGACAAGTTAGACGGCATCACGCTGCAGCACTCGTATGCAAGTGCGACAGCTGTTTCAGTTCCAAGCTTTTATTGCTGCAAGTCACTGTCTCCGTTTTTAAAAACCAAAAGGTGTGACTGGCTTCTCTCAGCCAATCAGCACCGATCTCATTTGCATACGCCCGTCTCAAACGTTTGCCAACTCTAGAAATGCACATGAGTAAGTCCCTTAAATACGGTCTTTCCTTGTGAGGTCGCCGTGTGCCCCGCTGCGTGCACAGCAGTGGGAGCGAGGAGCGTCCGCTCGGAGTCACCCTCACCCACAGCGGAGTCCACGGCGGCCCCGCGTTCTCGCCAGGCCGCGCCCCGCAGTGCTTACAGCTCTTTTTGAATTTGTCCAGCAGGTCTTCCGGCTCGTCCCGGAAGGCCCTCCCCAAACCGCGAGTTCATGGCAACAATAGAACCACTCGAGGCCCGCGCCAGCGTTATTCTCCCTGCTCGTTAGAGCGTCACACACCCGAGTGTTCCCAGTTCCTCGGGGTCCCGTGGGTGCTCTGGGGGGCGCCCGAGGAACTTCCGGCTGCGGCTGGCTCTTCCCCCGCCCCCACAGCCCCGGGAACCGGTCGGCGGCCTCCCTCTCTTCCCGGCATTTCCTAGGTGTTGCCGTAGGTGCTGCTCCGGTGGCGCTATGGCGTCCGCCTCGGCCCAGGCTGCGGCCCTGAGCGCCGAACAGGCCAAGGGTGAGCAGCAGGGCATCCTCGTCCCGGGGGCTGCCGGCCGGGGGAGGGTGCCGGCGGAGGCTGGCGGCGAGATGGGCTTGCTCCGCCGGAAACGGGCGCGGGGTACCAGCCTCCTCCCTCCTCTGGGAGGGGTGCCCCGGAGCGAGGGGTTCGGGCCGTGTTTATCGGGTTACTGCGGCTTCGGCCCGCTAATTCCCTGTCCTCTTCCCTGCACTGTCGGCCGGGCCTGCCGGGACGCCACCCTGGGCTGCATCCGCCACGCAGTGGTCCTGGCCGAGGTGATCCAGGCGTTCGCGGCCCCCGAGAACGCCGTGCGCATGGACGAGGCTCGGGACAACGCGTGCAACGACATGGGCAAGATGCTGCAGTTCGTGCTGCCCGTGGCCACGCAGATTCAGCAGGAGGTCATCAAGGCCTATGGCTTCAGCTGCGACGGGGAAGGTGGGTCGGCCGGGATGGGTGGAGTTGGGGAGAAACGTGCCGGATTCGATGTCCTGACTGTCGTCTCCCTTCTCGCCACACGGAGGCAGCCATAATCCGTCTAATAGTATTGGCCCTGCGAGCCTAGGCCCTAGGATCTACTCAGAAATGCGCCAGGTGAAGTCCTCAGTGCATTTTGTAGTTACCATTAGTTATACTTTATTCCATTTTAAGATGAGGAAACATACTCTTGTAGTAAATAAGTGCCGGAGGGTCGTCACCGCAGAGCCGGACCTGAATCCCGTTTTGAAAGCTTTTCGTCTGCATAATAGCAGCTTCTGCAGCCCCTCCAAGGGGTTTCGGCTGCTCTCTGTTTGAGGGTTGGAAGTTCAGTTTCTTTAATGAGATCACGGTATTCCCCAAGGGTGTTGACTGATTTAGGCCGGTCACCCCCTGGCCCTCCTGTGCTGTGGTTATAGATATGGGGTCTTTCCTGGGTGTTCACACTTTGGGTTCCTGTGACTAAATTGCTAAAATTGTTCACTCGATTGGGAGAAGCACGCGGCCTTGGGATGTTTCCATTCCCTGCATCCCATCTAGTTGTGCTCCGTGTAGACGAGAAAGTGGTGGATCCAACCCCCGGGGCAGAGGCCTTTCATGTGCCTTGTTTTGCAGACAGCTGCCTGGCGAGTGACGCATGCTCAGGCTACCCTCTGCCCTCGTCTGGAGCACCTCCATTCCCTGGGGATGTGGGTTGACCTCAGACCCCCCTTGCAGGTGTCCTGAAGTTTGCCCGCTTGGTCAAGTCTTACGAAGCCCAGGATCCTGAGATTGCCAGCCTGTCGGGCAAGCTGAAGGCACTGTTCCTGCCGCCGATGACACTGCCACCCCACGGGCCTGCTTCAGGTGGCAGCGTAGCCGCCTCCTGAGAGCTGGCCTCCCCGTGGCATTGCCTGGGAAGGGAAGATCTCCGCGTCCCGGTGGATAATAAACATGCCTGTGATTTCTTCTCAGCGTCATTCTTTTGTGACCTGACAAGCCCACCTCCTGGCCCCGATTCCTCTGCCATTTCAGTTGCTCATGTCCCTGTCCAGATCCTTCCTATGCTCTGGCTGGGCCCAACCCTGCTCCAAGGCAGGGTGGGAGGGTGGGCCGGCCCCTCAACACCCTGAGCGGGTGGGCCTGCACAGGTAGTACCTCTGGTGAGGAATGGGGCTTCCTGGGCTTTCCCTGCGGCCCCTTGGTGGCTGCGGACCAAAAAGTTCCCTCATTGGCTGGTGTTCACTTGGCCGGGGTTACTTCCTGGTCCTTGCCCCCACCCGCCCTCCTGCGGCCCTGTCAGCTCGCGCTCCAGGTGGAGCTCCAGGTGGCTCCTCCCCTCCCCAGGGAAGGAGGCCCTGGACAGGCAGGCAGGCACGCCCTGGACTCTCGACCTGACCGGAGGAGTGGGGCTGGAGGGAAAAGCAGGCTGCTGTGGGTGGTCAGAGGCCAGCCCCACCTCACCTGCCCCTCTGCTGGGGACACTTAGTGCAGGGGCTTGTTCCTGCCGTCCCCTTGGCCTGGTGGACAGCATCGAGGAGGAAGCGGCTGAGTTCAGAGCATTCTTCTCCACCAGGTCTGGGCCACCACACTGCTGCGCCTGGGGCTCAGCCCCGCCCTGCCCCTCTGGCTCTCTGCCTGTGACTCCCCCACTCCTCTGGGGAGATGCTGTCCCGTGGGTAAGTCTCCTGCTCCACCTGGGGGCTACAGTCTCCTGTTCGTTTGGAGGGAGGAGCAAGGTTCACGCTCACTTCTGACACGTGTGCGATCTGTCACTGCTCCCTGCCCTGGGTCTGCATCCTGTCTCTACCCTCGAGTTTTGAGGAGCTCCAGGCTTATTCATGCTTCTGGGGGGACTCACCCCCTTCTCTGACACTTTTCCCTGTCACGTGTGTTGATTCTCACCATTGCATTTCTCTCTCCATCCTCCGTTCGCCTGCTTTTGCTGTTTGCTTAAGTTAGACCTGTCCCCCTGGGTAGCCCACATCACCTGAAACATAACGTGTCTGAAAGACAAACCTGAGAAAGCTTGTCTTCGTTCCACTTTCTTTCAGTTCCTCTTCACTTCCCCTCCCCTGTATCATTCATACACAGATACATGGTGAGGTACTTTTGAAGGTTCTGGCTATAACTGTAGCGGACAGGGCAGACATGGTCCCTGCCCTCATAGAGCTTCATCTCAGTGGGAGGTAACAGATTACCAAGAACCCAATTAATAGGATATTTTCCGATTCTCAGAAGGGAAAAGAAACAGCTTCATGTGCTAGCAGGTGACTGGGCTGCTGGTGGCCTCACTGGCTGGAGGGGTCCAGGAGGGTTTTCCTGAGGAGGGGATGAGTGAGTCAGAGCCCCTGGGCAGCGGGAATGGTGAGGGAGAGGCCTTGCTGTGGGAGCAGTGACACAGGGACAGAGCCCGAAGCAGGGTGAACTGGTGGGGAGGAGAGCAGGGCCCGGCAGGCCTGTTGGAGTTTGTGACCATGTGCATAGTGAAGACCTGCCTGGAGTGTTGGTGAGTTGGTAGGTTGGTCGCCCCTTTTCCATCTGTGCTGCCTTCCCCAGTGCACACAGTTGTCACTGTCAGCCCCACGGACAGTCTTCTGGACAATCCCGTCCATGCTCCTACCATGATCGTTTTCTCACCAGCTGGTTGGAAAGGCCTCTCCCGGTGCATTCCTTCCCTGGTTCCTCAGCCGGGCCTCGTAAGACTCTGCAACAGGCGCCAGCCTCTCCGAGCAGCTTTGCAGCAGGCACTCCGCTCTGCTCACCCAGCCCTGCTCCAGTAGATCCTGTGCCTGCCACCTTGGTGCTGCCTCTGTGTGAGCACCGGCCCTCCAGCGTCCCCCTAGGGCCATGCCAGCACCCTCCCCCCAATATCCTACCTCCACTGAGGTCTGCTGCAGCAGTGTGGCCATTGTGCGGGGAAGGACAAGCTCTGGTGACTAATAACCTTGGCCTGTCCACCTTCCCACTCATGCTCTTGTGACCTTGTGCAAGTTACTTAACGTCTCTAAGCTTGTTTTTTTTTTTTATTCTAAAACTGAGCTAATAAGACCTAATAAATAGGGTTGGCATGTGGGTTAATTTGTAATGTAAGAGCTGCTGGCACTAAAACCCTACTGCGTATCAGCTTTTTAAAAAATATATTTTTTAAATTGATTTCAGAGAAGAAGGGAGAGAGAAATAGAAACATCAATGATGGCCTGGCCAGCATGGCTCAGTGGTTGAGCATCGACCTATGAACCAGGAGGTCACAGTTCAATTCTGGTCAGGGCACATGCCTGTGTGGGGCGTGAAGGAGGCAGCCGATCAATGATTCTCTCTCATCACTGATGTTTCTATCTCTCTTTCTTTACCAGGTGCTGAGGAATGGGAAGCTTAGGAATTTTCTAGGCATTTCACTTGGCTATTCTAGACCCCTTATCTTTCTACTTCACCACTGATCTCTATCTCTACCTTTATCTCTCTGCTTCCCAAGTGAATACTTTTCTCTTCTGAAGCACTAAGGACTTACTTTGTAACTCTCAGCCTCCTCCAGCCTGTTTTCCTTCCTTAAAAAAGTGAGGGAAATAATCTCTACATCAGAAGGATGTACGAGGCCCAGGTGGGATTGTGTCTGTGCAAGCGCTCTGAGGATACTGGAGCGCTTATAGGGGTGGTTCTTTATTTCCCTGTTAAAGGGACAACAGAGACGGTACATCTCATCTTAGCGTCTGTCTTCTGGCTTGACACCTTCCGGAAAAAGTCCTTCCTCTCCCAAGGGTCAGGCGCTCCTGGGTGCCTAGCTAGTTTCTTCCCACCCAGTGGGTTTAAGCCCCAGAAGGAGAGAGGGCTGGGTCTGGGGTGCAGTGGGTGTTCAGTGCTGAGCAGGGACCTGGAACTTTGAGTGGGGTCAGGATAGAGTGTCTAGGTGGGTATTTGTACCAAACCAGGGATGTGTGTCGATGGACATGGGCGATGAGGTGCATGTAGTGGGACTGTGTGCTTGGGTGGGTGATTGTGTGTGTGTGTCTGTGTCGGTATATGACAAGGGAGGGGTGTATGTGTAGGACCAGGAGCTGGACTTGTGACCATGTACTTGCATAGGTTTTGATGAGCTTGTTTACGGGACACATACTCTGTGGGAGGCATTGTGCTAAGCTTTGGACATTTGGAGGTGAGCAAGGCTGGTGGTGGACCCCCTGTGGTGGGGTGGGCTGTGCAGCTGCTCTTCCGGCCCTTGCTGTGGGAGGGAGTTCATGGTCATTCAGTGTGGCTGTCCAAGACTGAAGGGGAACCCGGCTGGGCAGCTCAGTTGGTTAGAGCGTTTGATTTCTAGTCAGGGCACATTCAAAAAGCAACCAACGAATGCGTAAATAAGTGGAATGACAAATCAGTGTTTCTCTTTCTCTCCCTTCCTGTCTCTTTCTAAAAAAAAAAAATCAATTTAAAACATTTTTTAAAAAGACTGAAGGGGTAGTCAGCATCAGACTACGCAGTAACCAGGCCAAGCAAGTTCCCCAGGGTACCAGAAAGAGGTGGAAAAAAAGCCCTTTTGGGAGAGGGGACCGGGGAGGGGTGGAATTGATGTTTGATGTTTTAAAAAGTGATATAGTAGTCATCATCATAGAAAAACAGACTTTTGTTGGGCTTTAAGACTTTGTTATTTTTTTCCTTATTTTTTTTTTGAGGTTGGCACACATAATGTGCATGTATGTAAGCCTGGTGAACATCAGCACACACCCATGTATATACAACCCAGATCAAGCAGCCCAGAGCTTTCCTGGAAATTGCTACCTCCCAGTCAGTTTATTTATTTTTATTTCTTATTTTTTAAAAAATATATTTTATTGATTTTTTACAGAGAGAAAGGGAGAGGGATAGAGAGTTAGAAACATCAATGAGAGAGAAACATCGATCAGCCGCCTCCTGCACACCCCCTACTGGGGATGTGCCTGCAACCAAGGTACATGCCCTTGACCGGAATCGAACCCGGGACCCTTCAGTCCCCAGGCCGACGCTCTATCCAGTGAGCCAAACTGGCCAGGGCCCAGTCAGTTTATTTTTATAAAGGTAATACATGCCCATGCCACAACTTTCGAAAAGGTATAAGGGAGAAGTCACCATCCCTCCAGCCGCCCAGACTCCCCCTAGGGGAAGCCACCAATATGGGTTTCTTATCTGTGCTCTGTTGGGCTGCTTTCCTCTCACGTTGGTTGGGTGGTGTTTGTGTGGAATCACACACTGAGAGCATCATGCCCTTGTAGTGTTCAGGGCCTCTCAAGGTCAACCGGCCCTGAGACTGTCAGCCATGGCAGGGACCGTGGCCCCAGACAGGCCTCGGTCAGAGTCCTGAGCTCTGGCTGATTGAGACCAGGCCCACTCGGCAAGAAGCTGTGGCTCAGACATAGGGTGGTTGGACCGAAGGGGCCCGTCAACTCCGTCCCCACCTGCCTCCTTGACTCCGACTCCCTCCCTCCCCCCATTCTGTTCCTGGGCTCCAACTACAAGGTTAGGGCAGGGTAGGGGCAAAGGCCCGGGGGCAAGAAGTAGAAAAGGTGCCAGTTTCACAGGGGTCATTCTATCCACCCCTCTGCCCCAGGGGCACCCCTGCAGATGTGAATGCTGGGAAGGCGAGGGCACCCGCCTTCGGAAGCATCTACAGGTCTTGGCTGTTGGGGACCCGCCCCTTCCCGCTACAACTTCCCTACACTCCCTGAGCCTCAGGTCCCTTGTCTGTAAAGTGGGCATAAACACAGTACCTGCTTCATAGGGCTACTGTGAGGAGTAAACCAGGGAAGGGTCGTAAAGGACCTTATAGCACAATGTCCGGCACACGGCATGATTCCAATACATGGCAGCGATCACTGTGACCATTATTATTAGCTCGGAACAGGGAAGGCAGTGTGGAAGCAGCTGGGAGGAGGAAGAGATGGCGTGTGACTGTGTGGGTTCACATGTATGAAGCATGATCTTCTCCCGGAGGGTGCAAGG